AACATTGCAATTAGGTTGAAAACTTTTGAAGGCAAGTAGAGAGGGCAGAAATTTATGAAAAGGGATTTGAATAGTTTTACAAGAAGAGATGAAAGCAAATAAAGGGAAGGGAGTCCTCGGTTTACGATTAATATGGATCACTTCAATGCAATATCCAGCAATCACTCCTCGGAAGAGGGGTCGCACGTGATATTAGCGCACCGGTCATCATATCCATATTCTACCCTTCCCACCCCGTCAAGGTATTAAAGCGCGAAGAGTTTCGTTACTTATTGCATGCTAGTACTCGTCCCAATCCTATCAGTCCCGGAGACATTTAGGACTACTAATCCTAAAGGGAAAGGGATTTAGGGCCTTTTGAGAGTTTCAAAGGACAAAATACTAAGGCGTCAATCAAAACACATAATACAAGTAAAAGTGGAGGTAGATAAGCAAGTAAGACTCAAGTAAACCTCCTTAAATCAGATAAGCCATAAAGTTTAGCATGTCTCGCATGTACTGGTTTGGTCTTAAGATTAAAGCGATAAACGAACTGATTTAACTCATATTTTTAGACAGGAAGTCCACATTATGGCTCACTCGAATGCAGTTGTCAAAGACTGAGCCACTTTAATTAGTCAATTTTACCTTAAATGTGGGATATAACTGCTGATTGTAAAGGAGTTGCAGAATAAGATAAGTTTCAGAAAAGATTGCAGACTTAATACAAAGAAAATGGTTTAAAACGAGTTTCAGAAAACATACTTGTTTAAGAAAAAACATTCCCGAGTTTTAACAAAAGAACTAAATTGCAGATTGATTCAAAATGTTTATTAGATAAGTATAAAGAAGTGAATTAAGATTGATTTGAAAAAAAATGTCAAATTATCAGGAAAGCAGTAAGTTTTCAGAAAATATGCACTGATTTGAGAATATTTATCAAGAAGGAAAAAGATGCACTGGTAGAAAAGTTTTAAGGGTTCAGAAAACGTGCAGAAAGTCGCTTGTTTTAGCAAAAAGGGGCAGTACTATTTTAGACGAGTGAAACAATTCTGATTTGAAGTTCCTATAGGCATGATCTCTACAAGTTACTGATTTTAATACCTTTCAAACGTTAACAGCCTTACAAACATGATATCTATATGCTGGCTTAAAGTAAAACCTAACGGTTTGCCTAATGTCATTATAAATGCAGAAATGCAAATTCCCATAGGCATGGTATCTATATGCATAGTTGCAGAAATCAGAAAGTTAGATCCTATAAGCATGGTTTCTACTTGTGAGATTGCATAGATCAAAAATTAAATCCTATAGGCATGATCTCTACCCTTTGTGCATAAAGTAACCCCCTCCCTTTTCTATAAATCCCCATGAGTTTATACAAATTATTACAGGCCAATAAAAATAAGACAGAAATTAAAAGTACATCAGAAATCACAGCTACATCCGAGCAGCCTAATTCAGACTTAGTGTCTAACAATATGAAATTGAACCATTTCCGAAATCCATATTTCCAAAGCCTTCTCTTATCTGGGGTGTTTCATAGATCCAAGGAGTTTCAGGAACTCCAGGCAGTGCTTACACCCCAAATATATTGCAGATTTAGATTATAGTGTAGTGTGGAAATGCCAGCTCTCAGATGTCCAAGTTTGGAGGGAACTCAAGGTCCCAAAGCAAGGCTCAAGAGAGAGGGGTAGAACTTAAGATTCTAGGAATAGGTGTAAGTGCACAATGGGGAGGGGAATCAAAGAGAGACAGGGCAAGCTAGTGGTCATGCCCAGCAATCGGGATGCTGGCACACCCCTGACCAGCTGCTGGTCAAGCATTGAGAGTTAGGATCCATTGTGGATCAAGCCAAGTCCTGGACAGTAATTAGGATACTGTCAGGCCAAGAACTTAACTCGGCACATAGAAGGGTATAGGGGTAGAGGATTCATAACAGAAATAGAAGCAAGGATGAAAAATATTTAATGCAAATTACTAAACATAGGCAGTAGAGTAACATCAGTCTGAAGGTGTGAAGTAAACACATAGGAGGTGAGGCAGAATATTTAAACAAAAGACATACCAGTTTCAAAGAAAATAAGTAAGCAAAAGTAGCCTTGAGAGAACCAAGTTGTAAACAGCAGTTCCAAAAGATCTCAAGCAAAGCCGAATTTAAAACAGTATTGCAAAAAATTATTTTTGTTCGTGTGTATTTCAGTGTGTGTCTGTGTGTCAAAAATGTGGAAGGGTAGTCCCTTTTATAGTGCAGAGAAGCAAGTAAGAAAGGTAAGAAAATAGTTTACCATCAATTGCATAGAATTTTCCTTCAATTAGGGGATTTGATCTCAAACTGGTAGAAGATAATTAAGGAAAGAATTTTGATTAAAGCCTTTTCAAAGTAGCACAAAAGGGGTAAATACATAAAGGCTATTTAAGGACAGGGTCTTGACAGTACATGGATGTAACATTTAAGGAAAGAAAATCAATTAATAGCCAAGAAATCAGAATTACGAGCTCAATTCGAATGAACCAAGTCAAGAAAAGGTAAAGGGGGTTCAATCAAAGAAAATCAGTGACAATCAATCAAACCCCATTAGAGGATTTCAGAATCAATCAATGAGTTAGTAAAAACCTTTGAAAGCAGAGTTCTCATATATAAAGCACACAAATATGTGAATCAAGAAGAGGCTGTCAAATTATTTAGAAGAGGGTTTAATTGAAGAGAAGTCCAGAATCATAAGCAACGAGATGCAGGTTCAATTTGCAGACTCATAGCGAGTCTGAGAGTTCAGGGTCCCAAAGTGGAGCCTCAACTCGAACACAAAAAATCAAAATCGTCAAAGGAAACCCCCGAATCCTAGGGTTTCAAAATTGAATCAGACATGAAAGTAGGAAAGCAAGTCATTGAAACAGGGATGATAGCAGGGTTGAAATGCAAAGCAAGAAAGCCGATTTTAGAGCATAAAAGAACATGTTTTAGAAAATTCGGGGCTTAAGCAAGTTCAGAAGAGAACAAAGGATACGAACTTAAACAAAAGTCGATGAAACATGCTTAGCAAGAACACAAACAGAGTTTACTAAAGCAAAAATCAAAGAACTCAACGGTAATCATATATAGTAAAAGAGTAAGGAAAACATAACACGGATTAACATGTGAGTACTGGAGTAACATGTGTAGTAGAAAAAGAAAGTGGAAGAACGGTACATACGCAGTAAAAGAGGTCATACGAGCCTAACATAGACAAACACACGTAAGAAAGAACAAAAAGAATCAGAAAGATGCTTTTTGAAAAACCTTTCAGGAACCCTAAATCGAAGGTAAACGATTTTAAAAAGAAAATCTGGGGAAAACCTTTTAAAATGTCAAATAAAGCATAGATACAACATAGATCTAAGCAAACAAACAGAGAAAGAACCTCGAATAACTTAGGGTTTCGGAGAAATCCTAGAAATGAGAAAGGCTTGGAAACAGGTCCGATCTAAGTCGGATGAGGTAATAAAGAGGCTTAGAAGACCAAGAGCCACCGGAGCAAAGTCGGAGATGGACGGAATCTTCGAATCGATGAAGGTCTGAGCAAAGACCTTCGAGGTCTAGCCTCGAACCTTCGAGCATCAGGCATGCAAGAGCCGGAGGAGGTGAGTATAGGTTGTTCATGGCCTGAGAAGCCATGGACTCCGGCGAAAACACGGTGGAACAAAGTGGGAAGAGACTAGGGTTCTGAAGAGCCTTGAGAGAATCTGAGAGCATTTGAGATTCAAAGGCGGCAGGTCAGGTGGAAAATAAAGGAATTAGGGTAGGTCATTTGGTTTAATTATGAAAGGGTGGGTTATGGCCGTTGATCTTGAATGATCAACGGTCCAGATTTGGAAGGGTAGGTGGGAATCGGGTAGGGTCATTTAGATTGGGTTATGGGTTGGGTCAGGTTAAAAAGTGGGCCGGTCCGGTTGGGGTTGGGATTGGGTCAAATGGTGGTTAAAATTGAAATATAAAAGGGTTTGTAATTGAAATAAATGAGGCTAAATGTTAAACGACAATTTCTTCCCCTTTTATTTTATATAAAATAATTAAAAAGATTTTTAAAACAGATTAAAATCATTGAATTGATTAATAAGGTATAAGTATTAATTTAAAAATACTGGAAATAATTTAATAATAATGAAATGTTGTTAATTGTAAAATAGGCTATAATTGCAATTACATGCAATTTAGCTTTTAAATATCAAATAAATTTGTAAAAATATGCAAAAAATCACATTAATTATATTTTGGTGTAAATATGAGATTTTGGGAATTATTCACCAAAATGATAATTTTGGGAATAATTATTGAATTTTGCACTACTAAAATAGACAATAAATTGGTTTTGAAAATCTTTAAAAATTTAGGAAAAATACCAAAACACTTGGGCATGCTTATGTATGCACATATATGTTATTTTGAAAGTATTTTGAGTGTAAAAAATACTTAGGGAAAAATTGGGTATCAACAGCGATCAGGAGGTCACGGATTCGAGCCGTGAAAACAACATCTTGCAGAAATACAGGGAAAGACTGGGTACGATAGACCCTTGATTATAAATTCCTCAACATCAAAATGTTAGAAATTACCGTCTCTTCTAGAGACTTCTAGTGTGGCCCACATATAAGGTAATAAATTATTTACCTTGTCTCCCAAAGGAAATAATATATCAGATAATATTCTGTAGTTATGCATATATGGTAGTTTCTTTGATGGAAAGAAATTACCATATATTAGGAGTCCCTAGGGTAATTATAATTTATGGGGAAGTCTCTAGGGCTAAAGTATTTGCCTAAGAGTCCCTAGCCTACCTATAAATACGCATGTGATCCATCAGTCTGACATCCTACGATAGGCATAGGCTAGAAGGCTCCTTAGGTTTTCTCTCAAGGTTCTTCCAAGGAATTCCCCACATCACTTGAATAATCATGGCTGAAGGTACATTCCATGTATAATCTCCGCTGCGTTGGCTCTGTGTGTGTATTTAAATTATAACATGTGGTATCAGAGCCTTCCTTTTAGCTATGTTTTTCAGTACCTGTTGATGGTAATTATGGATATAATTTATAATGTTTCGATAACAACAAATTCGTAACTTGGAACCGAACTTTAGTCGGTAGATTACTCTTTAGCTTTTGGCTTCTGAGTGTGTTTTGTTTACTGCTAACTCTATTAGTTTTATGTATCACTGTCGGTATACTTTGATTTTTACGTTGTAAGAACAAGAGAGAAATCGTTTTTCTTGTGACGCTTATATTGATAATTGATATATTATGGTTCAAACTTGTTCTCTTCTCTCTGATCTAGAAATTACTTGGTGTTAATTCGCTTTGGAGAATCTAATATGCCAATTAGAGAGATTTGCATTAAGCTGTTTGAATAGTAAACTGCATACTGTAGCAGTACATATTTGTATAGGTGCATACAATATAAGTATTTTATAACTCTGGTTTAGGTTAGAATTGCTATTTTTGTAATACCACCCTGAGGATGATGTATTTATTTGTTTATTGTAAATAAATACTTCATTTGTCTTGAAGTTTGTGCCTATCTGATCAGTTGTAGACTTTGAAACTCACAATGATAAATTTTGATCATATTAAATAACCAATGGTAAGCATTCTGACGAGAGATTATTGTAATTTTGGGGTGGCAGTAATCACCTTTAGGCTAAAGGTTTTTAAGTTGTTAAAATAATAAAATTATTTTCTTTGGTATTGCATATTCTGTTATTTTATAATAGCCTTTGCTAATATTTGAGAAGTTCTTATAATATTATAAGAATTACTTTTGGGGAAACATAAAGTCATACTTACATTCAAGTTGCCTATTTTTTTTAAAAAAACAATCAACATTCTAGATAAGTTGATAGTTAAAGATTAAATACTGTGAGATATCATTATTGAGTTTTCTTTTATGTGATGTACTTAGGAGTAGCCATAGCATCTTGAGTACTTGATATGAAAGAAATTAAGTTGTTTAATCACATAAAGTCTAGTGATTAAAAATTTTAATGACATCTATTTAGTCCAGTTATCTCATTAGAATAGTAACCCGACCCTACAGGGAGGTAATTATTTTGGTAAGATTAATTGGAATGAGATAGTAAACCTTTAAGTTGAAAATTATCTTATGCCCACAGGTACGAATTAAATTTTATGCATTTCGGTTTACTAGTCTAATAAAGTTAGTAAATTCTATGCATGGGTTGCAACCTCTGCCCACAGGAAGGTCTAGAATTTACTATGAATCGGTATTTTACACGATTCACCTTTGATAGATTGTACTTCACAGCTTATTTATATTTATCCTTGTTTTGCTGTATTTACATTTTTTCCTACCGCTATTTTTAATGAGAATGCTCGAATTCCAATGCTTTCTGATGAGAATTATACTGAATGGAAGGAGAAAGTCCTTCTCATTTTAGGGTGCTCAGATCTAGACCTGGCACTCCGTGTGGATGAACCACCTATTCCCACGAAATCAAGTACGCCAGCTGCTAAGGCTAACTATGAGCGGTGGGAGCGATCTAATCGCTTAAGTTTAATACTCATAAAAGCTCACATAAGCCAAAGCATTAGGGGTTCTATCCCTAACAGCGATAAGGTCAAAACTTACATGAAGGCAATTGATGAACAATTTGTAAGCTCTGACAAGGCATTGGCCAGCACCCTTATGAAGAGGCTCTCAAATATGACTTTCGACAGAAGTCGCATAGTGCATGAGCACATTATGGAGATGAGAGACATTGCTGCTAAACTCAAGTCCCTTGAGGTGGATATGTCTGAACCATTTCTTGTGCATTTCATTCTCAACTCCCTTCTTGCAGAATATGGTCCGTTCAAGATTTCTTACAACACACATAAGGATAAATGGTCAATACGTCTAATCTGGTAATAGGACGCATTCACGTGTGGAAGGCGTGGGGACTTATAGGCTCATTTAAAGGATGGTTTTTACTTAGATTTAGAAAATACTTTTTATGTTCCAGAATATTCTAGAAATTTAATTTTTTTTTCAAGACTATCGATTAGTGGATATGATTTGATATCCTTCTGTGAAAATTTTGAAAGATAAGTTATTGGTTTTGGAAATATATATAAACTTGAGCTAGACCCCACATTTGAATGCAATGTTTTAACTTTGCATGATAAATAAATTTGCACTAAGCGATGTATTATCAATGAGAACTCATCTAGTTTTTGGCACAAGAGATTGAGACACATCTCTATTGATAGAGTCAAAAGGTTGGTTAATGATGGAGTTCTAAAAGCTCTTGATTTTTCTGACTTTGGGACTTGTGTGGACTACATAAAGGGTAAACAGACCAACAAATCAACTAAAAGTGCCAAAAGAAGTTCTCAATTACTTGAGATTATACATACAAATATATGTGGACCTTTTCCTACCCCTTTCTTGAATGGTGAGAGATATTTTATCGCGTTTATTGATGACTATTCAAGATATATGACTCTCTATTTTGTGTTTAACAAATCATAAGCACTTGATGCTTTTAAGTTTACAAAACAGAAATAGAGAAACAAACTGGTGCTAAGATCAAAAGTGTAAGAACTGATAGAGGTGGAGAATATTATGGTAGGTACACAGATAAGGGACAAGTTAAGGATCCATTTGCTGAGTTCCTTCAAACAACAACAACAACAACAACAACAACAACAACGACCCAGTATAATCCCACAAGTGGGGTCTGGGGAGGGTAATATGTACGCAGACCTTACCCCTACCCCGAAGGGTAGAGAGGCTGTTTCCAGGAGACCCTCGGCTCAAAAAAAGCAATATGAGATGATATATTAGTACCATAAAAATGCGTAATAAAAATAACAACAATATATAAGAGATATGAAATATGAAATACAGGATATGAAATACGAAATACGAAATACGAAATAAATGGCTGGTATAGTACAACTAGAAGGTAAAGCCCTGCATCAATAGACGACCA